AATATGCACATTTTAACCCTAATCTTGACTATATTAGAACCTTATTCTGTCTTTATTTTTCTACTTTGGTGTTATTTTTTGTTTTTTTTCCTTTTCAGATGCATAAGGTTGAAATGAGCTAACTTTGGTGTTTTAGAGCCTTGGGAGAGTCAATCAAAGTCTTGGTGAGATGCCGGAGCAAAAAGGAGGCTGAAGCTGAAAATTTCCTACTTGGATTGATTGAGCCAAGCCATGATCGATGATAAGCACTGAAAAGTGCACATTTAAACCCTTTAAGCTTGAGTATTCTAGGACCTTATTCTATCTAATTTTACCGTTTTAGTCTAATTTCATGTTATGTCCCTTTTAAGGCACTTATCCCTAAAATAAGTCAATTCAGCTGAATTAGAGCATTTAAAGAAGCAATCTCAAGCTTAGTGGAAGAAAGGAGCAAAGTGGTGAAAAGAAGCCCTCTCCGATCGATCGAACCAAGCTTCGATCGATTACACTGTGATCGTTCCAATCATGCCATGATGGATCGAGCCTTTTGTCCTTATCTGTAGGAAAATTTCCCTTTCAATCGATCTAACCTTTCCTTCGATCGATCGAATATTTTTGATCTTATCCTCACCTACCACTTTTGTCTTTTTCCCAAAAATATCCCAAAAATATCTCGGCTGTGTCATTATTCAAAAAGGCGCCACCATAGTTCGATTGATCTAAGCACCCTTGTGATCGATCGAACTGCCTCAAGTGCGTGAAAAACAGAATCCAGCCAACTTAAAGGTGTGCTCGTGGTGCAATCATTTGGAGGTCATAGTGCATGAGGTCTGACCATTGGGTGTGACATTTGAGCTACCTATATAAGGATTTTAGCTATTTTGAGTAGATATACATCGTTTACAATAGGGAGGCTAGAGATTAGAGAGAGAAATACACTATTTGGGGAAAGCTCTTCCACTCATCTAGGGTTTCTACCAAGAAGAGGAGGATCATTTCTACCATGGAGATAGCCCTTGAGGGTTGGATGATAACATCAATGAGTGGCTAAACCATTCTCTTGAGGCTAGAGATAGCCTTAAGCATGCATCCTAGACTTTGATGTTTTGTAATTAAAGGGGATTTGTGTTGTAATTATTATCTAGGCATCTTATATATAAATCTTGTTTCTACAATGATTTGTGTAGTTTAATACTTCCAATTGATTATTTAATTCTATCCATATCTCTATGTATGCTAGGATGAATGTTCATGTGTTTATTTCTAGATTTTGTGACATCGATGTATTTCTATGTGTGTTGATATTATGAATCTAGTGATGGTCAAGACATGGTGCTTAAATAGATTACTCTTGTGGTTTGTTTGATGGTTCATACTTATTTCTTGATGGATTGTGCCACCTCCTTAGTTTAATTAGTTTAATTTTCTTATCACTAGTTAGTTGTAGTGTAATTGCCTTACTTTCTTAGATAGGTAGATAATCCATACTTGTTGTTTGATATTCCATACTTATGAATGCAAGTAGTATATTTCTCTAATTTAATGAGTGTGCATTAATTGTGGACTTAAGAAAAGGAATAATGGCATAATTTGATATGTTGTGCTATTCACTAATTTGGCTAGACAATATATGCTTACTTGGCCATCCATGTTTGATAATTCAATTAATGACACACACTTTCATTACAACATATAATCCCCCTAATCCATCAAACATTAAATGTCTAGGAAGGTAATGCTTAGTGGTAAACTCTAAGTCCCAAGACTCCTTTCTTATATTCTCTACACCTCATTTTACTCTAATTGCTTCACTTTGCATTTATTTAGTTTACATTGTAGTTTAATTTAACCACCAAATCATCTTTTGATCATTCGACTTATTAATCCAACGTTGATTTCCAAGCAAGAATACACTCCATTTCCCTTGGGACGATCCCTACTTACTCTAGCTACATTAATAGTTAGTAGTGGTAGTGACATTCTATAAATTCAAACTTGGCCACACTACACACTTTTCTTGCAACTAGGTATTGACCATGCCAAGTTTTGGCGCCGTTGCCGGGGATTTTGGCAACATCGTATTTTGGAAATCAATTAGGAATTAGTACTCTTTTGATGTTGTCTTTATTTCAATTTACTTTGGTTACTTATTATGTTTGTTCTTGATTGGCTAGGTGCATTGAGTCAAGGGAAGTAAAGTAAAATGATTCTAAAGCAAAAGAGCAAGCTAACCTAAGCAAAGCAAAAACATAAAAAGCTAAAAATCTAAAAAATTTGCAAAACAAACAAGTGAAAATAAATGAAGTTGCTTAAGGACCCTTTGTGAGCTTTTTTAACTCTATCTCTAGTTAAATCATCGACCCCGTGTGGAGACAAGTTTTTAATTTTCTAGATAAATCGTGAGCTCGCGCAGAGGCAATTTACTTTTCTTGCATATTGTTTAAAGCATGGGAGTATGTGATCAATATATGTGGAGGTTTGTTGATTGATTTGTTGTGGAGGAGAATTGCTTGTTACATACTTGTTGTTGACTTGTTGTTTATTTTGTTAGTGCATGCATGGTCGTAGATCATTGAATCCAACTCTTGTCCCACTTAATTTGAATCTTGAATCCATTGTTCTCAATCCTAAGGAAAGGGTTAATGGCTCTTTGCAACGATCAATAATAAATCAACCCTTTGCAATATCACAATTCATTGTAAAATAGGGCTATTGGACGGGTAAGTCGAACCATTGAGAATGCTAGCTTATGGCAATCAAGCTTGTAAGATTAATTTACGGTTTGATTTATGAAAGATAGTTTTTGGATTGGTTTGTTTGTCACATACATAAACTGAAATTAATTACAAATAAATAATTTGAATTTCAAGTAAGGAGAGTGTGGGAAAGGCTAGGAAATTGACTTTACCATAAGCCATATAAACATGCCTAATTGCAATTAACGTGGGGAACAAAATATACATGTAACCATGATACGTAGAAATGCAAGACAACTACAATATCTTCAAGAAGTTCACACATTCAAGAATTAAGTATAGGTTGGTATAATTCATCTATCTAAACTAGGGTATAACATGAAATATCCTTCCTAAGCTATGAACTATCAAAGTCCTCAATTTGTGTGGTAAGTGCACATGAAGTCAAAAACTAAGCAATAATCCATTAAAGGTTTCCCTAAGCCATAGACTATCAAAATTTCCATACAACATGTCAATAAAACCATTGTATAATCTCATCTTTACTCTCACTACAAAGATGTAAGTAGCATAATCATGAAGAAACAATTTCTAAGACAAGATAAGAGTCTCAACAAGATTAAATATGGAATGCAACACAAACACATCAAAGTGTATCTCTAGATTATACAACTTGTCACATATATGCAAAGTTCCCCAAATATAAACACAATTAAAACATATTTACTTGACAAGGGTTACATCAACTCCCTAGGAAGAGAGTTAGCCTCTCATGGTTGAAGTTGCAGACCCCAAAGGAGCTGAAGAACTTCCATTTTCGTGCACCTAGAGGCCAAGAACAACCCAAACCCTCTAGCACTCAATATTTCTCTCTCTAGCCCCTTACAAAATGTGAGATGCCTATCCTCTTACATGCTTTAAGCCTCTAATATATCAACCTTAGCTTTCCATCCACTCCAAATTCGTGGTCCTAAAGCCTCTAGACAATTTTAGAGCAATCCCCCTAATTAAGGGGATAACATTAGGTGACGAGGAGGGAGCCCATGCTCTCTTGTCTGCAGATCAGTCGGCGCCCGCATGCACAGGGCAGGGGCCCACGGAAGCTTGAAGATTCTGCCCAAAAAGGCAGGCGCTTGCGGGTTCTTGGCGGGCGCCCGCTGGTGCTTGTCAGCTCTGCGTACCTTTGGTAAAAAGGCCATAACTCTCTGCTCCAAATTTCAAATGACAAACCGTTTAATGATTTAGAAAGCTGACTTAAAGATATAAGTATGTCATGTTTTAATGGGAGTCCAATTCGCAAGTTTGGTGGGTCAAAAATGAAGAGCAAAGTCAAACTTCACTGCTGCCAGGCTGTTCTGCGCACCTTTGGTACAAAGGCCATAACTCTCTACTCCAAACTTCAAATGATAAACCGTTTAATGATTTGGAAAGCTAACTCAAAGATCTAAGTACGTCATGTTGTAATAGAAGTCCAGTTTTCAAGTTTGGTGGGTCAAAAATGAAGAACAAAGTCGAATTTCACTGCTGCCAGGCTGTAAATTTCAGCATTGCACATTTTGATCTTCAAGAATTCATCAAAACATCATTGTTATTCCTTTTTGGGAAACAAACCTAAAAATATATAAAAACATGCAAGTGAAGATAATCTATATAAAATAATCAAATAATGGACTTAACTAATGCAAATAATATCAAGGGGTAACTCTCGTGACTCCATTTCATCAATGGAGGACATTAACGAGGACCATGTGGAGGACCTTGGTCACATCGACCAACAAGGTATCCTCCACCCTAATGTACATTATGATAACATTCAAGTACCATTAGGCATGCCAAGACCCTTCATTCTACAACAACAAGGCCATGTTCCATTGGGAATGTCTCGGCCAATTTTTGTTCCACCTCAACCTCCCATAGTTCAAGGAAATCATGGTGCTCGTGTAGTACCACAGGTTGTGACTCCTCTTCTTACTTTGTGAGATCACTATGTGCCAAATGAGTACAATGCATTGATATGCATTCAATTACCTTCATTTAGAGTATACCATTATGAAATCAAACCACAAACTATTGAAATGCTTCCCAATTATTATGGGCTTCCAGGTGAAGAACCTTACAAGCATTTAGATGAGTTTCTTGAAGTGTGTTCCACTGTGAAATACATGGACATGCCGAAAGAGGTTTTGTGATTAAAACTCTTCCCTTTTACCCTCAAAGATAAAGCAAAATATTGGTTCGACAATCTAAGACCTTTTTCGATAACTACTTGGGCAGAAATGCAACAAGAGTTCTTGAAAAAGTACTATCCCATTTCAAAAGACCAATACAATGAGAACCTCCATTTGTGAATTTTCGCAAAGGAAAGGGGAATTGTTTCATGAGGCATAGGAGCGCCTAAATGATTTGCTTAGGAAGTGTCCACATCACGACATTCCTAAATTGCAATTGGTGCAATTTTTCTTTGAAAGTTTGTCGGATAATTTTAAAGGAATGGAAGATACTTCCATAGGTGGTTCATATCTTGATAGGCATGAGGACGATGTATGGCGTCTTTATGAAAGCACGAGTGAGAATTCAATGCATCGATCCTTGTCTTCCAAAAATGGTAGAAACTTAGGTGAACGGAAGAATGTCGACTTGTATTAAGTTGACCATTCCAATTATGTGATACCCCTGGATTTTCGGATGCGGGTTGGCCAGGTCCACGCCCGAATACCCGAGGATATCAAAAACAAATCGGTAATAATAGAACACAGAATATAAATATGATAAATAAGAATAAAAATTTTGCTGAAAGAAAACTAAAATAATAATCCAATAACTCCTCAGAATAAATTCTTATTAATAATAAAATCATTCTGATATAATTAATCCTCCATTAATACAACTCGGGAATCTATAATGTGTAGACCCCTAGAAAAATCCAAAACTGAACAAGTAACAGTAATGACTGTCTACAAACAAATTATACTCTACTACAATCCAAGCAGAGATCCGATACACATATACATCCTAGTCCATCCAACAATAACTAATAGTCTGTGTATATGTATATATATATATATATATAGATACACACTATAGGACGCTCACTGGACTATAGGTCTGTCTCAACCTGAATAGAAGGCAACATGAAAATAGTACATAAAGTGGGCATGAGTACCTAGACCTACCAGGGCACCCAGATGTCTACTATATCCAGTTATCCATCCTAGGCAATATACGCACCCTAACCATGATCTTGAAACTCAAGCTCATATCAAGGCTTATAACTATATATATATAAAATCCATCCTAATCCAGAACCTAAAATAAACATCCGGTATGTCATCCAACTGATTCAGTTGACCTGACATGAATATAAGTAGGACTTAACATTATAGTGAATCCATTCCCTTATACCAGAATAGATAGGACTTAGCGTTTTGAGCTAATCCGTCCCTAATATGCCACCGTCCCATACCGGTGCATATAATCCACAAGATCTAATAATTGATAGAACAAAGTAAAGTAATTCATCAATTAAAATCCAGAGAAGAGTATAATGAAAAATCATATATTTAACTGAGCACATTATACTGCAATATACAAGAGTAAACTTGTAAACATCCATTTAATTTGCTAGCACGCTGACAAGCAATTAAATCCTTCATAACCATTAACAACATGCAAATCTAATTTTAAATTTCATGATGTTCAAGATCAAAACATAATAACATAGATCAATCATTCTGGAATTTTAACATATTCATGTAAATCATTTAAAACCCCCATGAAAGTTTAGAATCATAATTTATAAGAGAAATCAATTTCAATGAAAAATACATAATAAAGTTTAAACTCTAAATTAATATGCATACAAGACCAGTTTTAATGTCTGATTAATCTTGGAATTGCCCTAGCCATGCATAGAACAAGAATCTAAGGGAAAGATTAGGAGAAGAACTTGCCTCTAAAGTTTCGGTTTGAAACCTTTAACCGTCTTCTTCCTAGGTTTTCCAGTGACCTTGATTGCTGTCGAACCCTCTCTACTGCTCGATCCTAGTCCACTAGCAGGCCTCTAACTTCCCTCATTGGCTCAGTCCTTGATTCTTGGCCAAACCTTAGTTTTCTCTCTTTCTCACTGCCACTATTGTGACGTGAATATGGTTCTTGACTTATGCAATATATATATATAAGCTAATATTAACTCTAATCCTATATACAAACTAAGTCAGCCAACAAAAGGAAAAGAAAAAGGGAAAAATGGAAAAATAAAAATATAAAATACAGTGATTATACTAACTATACTAACGTAATATTCATATTTGTCTAATATATAATTACATATACAATTATATATACTAACTATAGTTATTAATATTAATTATTTATAATATTAATAAATAAAAAATCCTCATATACATATATATCCATATATATATGTACAACCATTCATGGGTAAATATCCGTACCTATTAATCTCCTATCTAAGTAGTCCATGCGACCCAATTAGTTGGTCCATTACTACTATCCATATCCATCCTTTTAAACTAAAAATAAAATAAAATAATTACCAAATAAAATTACAACTAATTCACATAATTAAAGCACAAAATTTAATTAAACAAATAATACAAATAACAAATAGACAAATAGTTAATAAATCAAGTAACACTTAAATCAATTAAACACATAAGTAAGTAGCCAAGTAATCAATTAAACAATTAAAAATGTAATTAATACAAATAAATAAATACCGAGACCATCTTTTTAAAATTAGGGGTATTACAAATGACATAGCCGCCGAAGTGAAATCTTTATCCCAAAGGTTTGATCAATTCTTGATCAACCAAAATTCGGTGAATCAAGTGTCTTCCTCCCCTAACCATACTCATCATACTTCAAATAAAGCTTGCATGACTTGTTCTAGTGTTCTACATTCTACTTCCAATTGTCCCCATAAACATGTGCAAAATGAACACCATGAACAAGTGAATGCCGCATTTGTCAACCAAGGGAATAATCCCTATGGCACTCATTACAATGCTAGGTGGAGGAACCATCCAAACTTCTCTTGGAAAAGCCAAGGGGAAGGCTCAAACCCTCACCAAAGTGGTTTTCAAGGCAAGTATGTTCCACCCATAATGCAAAGCCAAGGTTCCCAAGGTTATAGATTATATTTCCAAGCATCACACGGAAACCAATTTTCAAATTCTCATTTTCTAAATCAATCTTCATATTCTCAAGGGAATTCAAGGAGTCCCAAATTTGAAGAATTTTTTTTGACTGCTTTAGGTACTTTGGAAGCAAATACCCAATTACTTCATTCTCATTCCTAATCCATTGCAAAGCTAGAAACCCAAGTCGGGCAAATAGCAAGTACATTGAATGCTAGGGAAAAGGGGAAAATGCCTTTGAATCCACCACCAAAGCAACAATTTGTTGTGGAGACCAATTCCTCCTTGGAAGGTCACACAATTGAACATGTCAATGCGGTGACAACCTTGAGAAGTAAAAGAATTATGGACAATCAAGTTGGTGTTCAAAATGAAGAGAGTGAACCGATGCAACCAAAAGTTAACACCCGTCTCATCTCACATCCTATTCTTCCTTCATTGCTTGTGAAAGACCCTTTTGTTGAGAAAGATTTGAAAAATGATGTGAAAAATTCTTGTGTTGGAAAAGGACTTTGAAAAAGTTTTTGAGCCAAAAGCTCCATTTCCGGATGCCTTAAAATAATCCAATTCTCTTGAAAAACAACAAAGCAAAGTAAATGAGATAATTGAAGTGTTTAGACAAGTGAAGATTAATTTTCCTCTCTTGGATGCAATTATACAAATTCTGGCCTATGCCAAATTCTTGAAAGATCTTTGCACCCTTAAGAGGAAGACTAAGAGCCAAGCACCAAAAAGAGTTGTTTTGACCGAGCAAGTAAGTTCCATTTTGCAACATAACACTCTCCCAAAATTCAAAGACCCCGGTTCACCTACTACTTCTTGCATCATTGGTGATCATGTCATTAACCGGGCTCCTCTTAATTTAGGAGCAAGTGTGAACCTTTTTCCATATTCAGTATATGTTCAATTGGGCTTAGGGGACTTAAAATCGACGTCGGTAGTGTTACAACTAGCCGATCAATCCATCATAAAGCCCCGGGATATCATTGAGGATGTGTTGATCAAAATTAATAAGTTTTTCTTCCCGGTCGATTTTGTAGACATCGACACGGAACCGGTCACAAATCCCAAGAGCCAAATTCCCGTTATCCTTGGCCATCCCTTCTTGGCAACCGCTAATGCTAACATTAATTGTAAGACAGGGATAATGAAAATTTCATTTAGCCATATGAAGGTGAAGTTGAACATTTTCAATCCAACCCTCACAATTCATTGGACAAGTATGAAGAAGTATGTGTTGTTAAAAAATGTATTGAAAATGAATTTGTCAAAAATGAGTCGTTGCTTGGTATTAAACAATCGAGTGTTTTATCTTCTAAAAAGGTTTCAAAAGATGTTGTGTTTAAACCAATTGTTGCAAGGGCATGGAAGCCCAAGGATTTGTTTGACAAAGGACCATTAATTTCATTTGAATCAAATCCAACAAGTCCCCTAGGGAATAGTTTGTTGGGTGGGGTTCAAAGTTCTTTTCACCCCATTAAGAAGAGGATACATAACAAGATTTTCGATCCGGGCTAAAACAGCTCAACGTCTTACTAGAGATGTTAAACACTAGTGCTTTGTAGGGTTTCCAACCCTATTCCTCCCTCATTTCTATTTTCTTTTCCTTCTTTGCGTCGTCTAGATATTATCTAAGATTCTATATGTTGTTTGAGACTTTGATGGGAAATGCATGCTCTTTCATCTTCAAATTAGGCATTTAGTGGCTGTTCGATCGATCACATAAGATATTCAATCGATCAAACATCATCTTTGCATACTCTTATCTCTCTGTTCCATCATGCGAAGATTCTCTGCAGAAATCATCTCTCTGTGTATCGTTCGAACTTTTCATCCGATCGATCCAAGTATCCCTTGATCGATCCAGTTTTACCTTGGATCGATCGCAATTTTATACTTAGAAATTTTTTTTTGGATCTCTGAAAAAATCATCTCTCTATGTATCGTTCAAAACTTTCTGCAAGTTTTCACATCTTGGATCGATCGAGTTTTCATCAATCATTCTTCGATCGATCTAAGTCTTTTCCTTTGACTTTTTAAAAAATTCAAAATTCAAGTTTAAAAAAAAAAAACAAAAAAAAAAATTTATTTATTTATTTATTTTCAAAAATCCAAAAATATTTTAAATTTTCAAAATTCAAAAATTTTCAAAAATATTTTGTTGTCTTGTGGGGTCGATCGATCTGAGCACCTTCATGATTGATCTAAGTTCGATCGATCCATTGACCCATCTGATCGATCACATAAGTCGGGACTAGTTTTAAAAATAATGA